GGGCGCCACGGCCCCGAAGGTCGGTGGGAAGAGCCCGGGGTGGGATTCTGCGGCCGGGGGTTCGCTCGTGGCAATGAGGCCATTCGTGGTGACCTGTCGAAACGAAGCAGAGTTCAAAGGAGCCCCCTTTCCACTCGGGAGGCGGAGCGCCCACTCGGAGGATGTGGTCACGGGCCCACGCGAAGCCAAGTGCCACCGGATCGAAACCATGCAACTGATGGTGGGAATCAGCACCTGTTCCCTGGGCAGAGTCCTGTGGAAGGGGCACAGCTCGATGCTGGCATCCTCCAGTCCCCGCCCCCGGGACACTAAGGGTCTAAGGCTCAGCCCCTAGGTGCCTGCTCTGTGTTCTACAAAGAGCCGTTGGACATCCGTCATCATTTATTTTTTTTAAATATTTTTATTCATTTCAGAGAAGAAGGGAGAGGGAGAGAGAGAGAGAAACATCCATGATGACAGAGAATCATCGATCGGCTGCCTCCTGCACACCCCACACTGGGGATCGAGCCCGCAATCAAGGCATGTGCCCTAACCGGGAATCCAACCGTGACCATGACCTCCAGATTCATGGGTCAATACGCAACCACGGAGCCACGCCAGCCGGCGGGGCAGTATCCACATTCTTCAGATGAAGGAAACGAGGGAAGCACATCGAGTTTTCCAAAGTTACCAGTGAGGGGTGACATCGGGATGTGACCGCAGGGAGCCCACGTCCCCGTGGGCTGCCTCCTCATCGCGGTGCAGCGTTCTTGAAATCGGTTATCCCTGCCTGTGAACGGGTGTCACCGTTCCCATCCCGTGGAAACCCAGGCTGCTCGGGAACGTGGGAAAGAGACACAGCTCCATGTGGAGGGAGGGGCCCTGGTCTCCTGCAAAGCCTCGTGAGAACGAGGTTTTGACCCCACTCATGTCCTCATTCGTGCACAACCCACTGATGCCATAGAACCCACTGCACGGGTCTGTTGACTTCAAGAATCTGAGAATAACAACAAAAATCCCTGTCGGCTGGCGTGGCTCAGTGGTTGAGCGTCGACCTTTGAACCAGGAGGTTACGGTTTGATTCCCGGTCAGGGCACACGCCTGGGTTGCAGGCTCAATCCTCAGTGGGGAGCGTGCAGGAGGCAGCCAATCCGTGATTCTCTCTCATCATTGATGTTTTTATCTCTCTCTCTCCCTCTCCCTGCCTCTCTGAAATCAATTTTTAAAAAATGTATTTTTTTAAAATCCCTAATCAGATGGGAGAGTTGTAGCAAATGGCCCTCAGCTTGCACTGTAAGAAGCTATGGTTGGAAAGACGCCAGGGCAGAGGACTCGTCTGGACTGCCCAGATCTGTCCAGGCCACTTATCTCCCTCCCTCCTCCACCCACATCCTTACCCTTAAGCCACTTCAGACCTCATTCCTGGAGGAGGAGTCAGGGGTAGACAAAAAGGACAGAAACTGGCCCGGCCAGTGTCGCTCAGTGGTTGCTCACATCAACCTATGAATCAGGAGGTCCCAGTTCGATTCCCGATCAGGGCACATGCCCGGGTTGTGGGCTCCATCCCCAGTGTGGGGCGTGCAGGAGGCAACTGATCAATGTTGATGTTTCTATGTCTCTCTCCCTCTCTCTGAAACCAATAAAAACGTATTTAAAAAAAGAAAAAGAAAAAAGGACAGGAACTGAAGACCCAGCCCTTGCGACATGCCCAGAACCGGGTGAAAAGGCTCCGTGGGGTGGAGCCGGGGACAGGGAGTTTTGGGAGTGAACTTTGCACACCTCCCTTTTCACCCAGCTCCCCGGGCTGTGAGCTGCTTGGGGACACGCTTCCCATCATCACCTGGCACCGGCCTGGAGATTCCGCAATACTCCGACGGGCTGCGAGGAGGGGTCAGGGATGAGCTGGCCCAGCTGGCCGGCCCCACCCCCATCCCGACACCTCCCAGCTGGGCGGGCGGGCGGGAGGGAGAGAGCGTGGGAAAGGGCTCGCTCTCTCAAGATGCCAGGAGTTGGCAACCCCCAGCTGCTCCGGGGGAGGGACACACAGGGCCACAGACAGACAGCTCACGTTCTAAAAATCTGCCTTCGAGAAGACTGCCAGGGCCTTTTATGACTGAGAATCTGGGCTAAGGAATGTTCCTATTCCCACAAGAAATGCTCTCAGCCCTCAGCCTCGAAGCCCTGCGGACACTCTGGACGGGGCCCAGATGACCCTCCTGAGTGTCAGGGTTGGACAACGAGTTTCAGCCCGTGTTCCTGCATCGTCAGCTCCGCGGTCTGTGATCACCAAGAAAGATGACATCACAGATACATGTCATGCACAACAGCCAGAAGTTTCACTGGATTCTTAGCTTTAAACTGCCCCCCTCCCCACCCCGTAAACTTTATTCTTCAGACACACCGTTAGCAGTGGGTATGCAGGAGGGGGCAGCCAATCGATGATTCTCTCTTATCATTGATGTTTCTATCTTTCTCTCTCTCCCTTCCTCTCTGAAATCACTAAAAGTATTTCTTAAAGAAAGAGTCATTTTTTAGAGTTACATGCTGGAATATTTAGAATGAAATAAAATTATTTGGGATTTGCTTAAGGATAACTCATTTAGGTGGATAGGTGAATAGAAATGAATCAAAACAAGTCATAGATTGCCGGGCCGGCATGGCTCAGTGGTTGAGCATCGACCTATGAACCAGAAGGTCAAGTTTCGATTCCCGGTCAAGGGCACATGCCTGGGTTGTGGGCTCAATCCCCAGTAGGGGGCGTGCAGGAGGCAGCTGATCCATGATTCTCTCTCATCGTTGATGTTTCTCTCTCCTTCTCCCTTCCTCTCTGAAATGAATAAAAATATACTTTTTAAAATAAGAGACAAGCCATAAATCGATACTTGTTGAAGCTGGGTGAGTCCCAGGAATGTGTTCTAATAGTCTATTTTTGCATATGTTTGGAATTTTCCATAATAAAACATTTTTGTAAAAAAAAAAGACAATGAACACGATTGATGTACAGTTTGGCGGGAAAGGGCAGCTGGCTTTTACAGGTGAGCCAACGCTAATGTCCTGCCATCCGGAGAAGGGCCTGGGGATTCCTTTAAACTCCCCCCTCTCCCAGACCTGCCCACATCCCACCGCGGCCCTCCCTCCCCACCGCGGATTTTCAGGAATGTTCCCTGCACTGGGTGCGCTAGACTGTGATAATGAGCAGAAGGTGCAGGCGCAAGCAGAGCTGGGAATTAATGGGACGTTACAGAGCCTTGAGGCCCCGGGCACAGGGCCCTGACGTGCAGAAACAACGCTGAAGCCTGAGGATTACGCACACAAGCACCAACCAGCACTGCCTTCTGGTCCCCATTGGTGCCACTTAAAAAATGCCATGGGCGCGGCTGGGGTGGCTCAGTGGTTGAGCATCAACCTATGAATTAATGAATTAAGGCCAGTGGGTCGGGCAA